GAAATCAGAGTCCTGCTACTGCACAGCTAGGATTACTCACTGAGTTCTATGTGCTGCTCCCTAATGTTCTTACAAATGTCACTTCAGCTGGGGCAGTGTGAAATGAGGCATTCCCTTGGGTGTGATGGGAATGTTTGATTGTTTGCCAGCTGCTAGTCTGGACTCTCATGGAGCTCCCTATTTCATCTGATGCTAATCGCTGCTGTTTGGCTATTAGTTTTGTTAAATTTGTTAACTTTGCCTTCTTGAACCAAGCAGCAGATAAGCACTCTTTTCACTATCTTGTAGAAGCCTTGTGGTCCGGGGCTTTGTACCAGCCGTTGTTTGAATGAAACCAGACAAAATGGCTACATTACTCACTTGGAGTTGGCCAGACACCCGGCCCCACAGCAAGCTCAGTCTGTCTCCCACGCTGACTGGGGTCATGTTCCTGGAACATGGTCCTTGGTCAAAACTCATCATTCTCTTAACTTTGCTCTTGGTAGCATTGCCTCTGTCAGCCATCAGGAATCTCTTCATCTCACCCATTCAGTCCCCTCCGTGAAAGATTTTCTTCCTGCGTTCTCGGCTTCAGCCATATCCGATGACTGTGTGGGAAAGGGTTCAGTCAGTTGTCTGCATTTCTTTCCCATGTGAATCATTATCTTCTCCTTTCCCAGTGTACTCTGCCTCCAATCTCCTGGTGCTGTTAAATGACTGGATTCTCCGAAAGGAGCTACAGAAGACCCTGCCTGTGGTAAGCCTCTTGTGTATAAGGGGAGGGGTTGGCACATACATTTCCTATGCTCATCTACAGAGGCTGTGTTTCCAGAAATATTTCTTTCAAAGTGACTGGGCCAGATTCCAGGCCTTGCGACAGCACCTTTATACTACTTCACTCTGGTGGCATAAAGGGGCTGGAGCAGTCCTCTGACTGTCTTGCATGTAGCCCTTAGCATGGGGGAGTGACCAGAGCACTCTGCACTTTGGCAATTCTGGGTGTGGAGAAGTCCCTAGGCAGCTCATGTAAGGTTGCCATAAATTAGAACAGCCTCTGAGTTATGGTCTGGACCACAGGAGCCACTGAGAAACCTAGAATCTGGGATGCACAAAAGAGACATAAAGCCTTCTTGGCCTTTCCCGTTTCTTGGCTGCATCTCCTGTGTGGTGTAACACAGAATCAGGCCCCTTGTGTCCGCCTTTATGCCAGTCTACACACAGTAAAACAAACAAAACATCTCAACTCTGACATGTAAGAGATTGAAAGAATCTCTGCATACCTCAAATTAGCCTTCAGCAATCACTGGTAGGGTTCCATTAGAAAGTCCTCTGCTCTGCCAACCTGCCTATTCTTTGGGCTTGGATGTGTCAGGCCCTGTGCTAGTTGGAGGATGCAAGTTTGTAGTCAGGATCACAGCTGTATAGAGAACAAGAATGGTGAACTCGGTGGGCCTAACTGGCTTTTCGCTGCTGAAGGCCAAATGTGAAATGAGAGTGATCTCAGCCAGTCCTCCTCATCTCTGGGCTACATAGTGCCTGAAAGTAAATCTACCATTTACTCCCAGGAGTCCTCAACCTATTCCTCCTTGGTTCACCCTGAAAGTAGAACTGGGCTGGACTTGCACCCCACGACACATGCCCAGAAACCTGCTGCCTCTCACTCTTCCCCCCCCACTTTGTGTTTTGCAGTCACTACCCCAGCAGAAGTTGCTGACCTGGCTGAGTGTGCTCGAGTGTGTAGAAGTCTTTGCGGAAATGGGAGCTGCCAAGGTGTGGGGTGAGATGGGCCGATGGACCATCATCATCCTCATCCAGCTGGCTAAGTGAGTGCTCCAGGTAGATGGTAGGTGTGTGCAGTAGGGGCGGCATAGAGGGCCCATTAACACAGACTCACAAGTGAGATGTTATCTACTGAGCATCCGTCAGATTTGAGCTCATGGAAGAAGGTGGTGCAGGCATGTTCCATCAGGCTAGGCACATTTGGGGGTGCAAAGGACATTAGATTTCTTGCTGCTGCGAGTACTCACTTTTGTGGGACTCCTGGCTGTGGTACAGCAGGGTGAAGAAGGTAGAGCCAGTGATGAGGTGTGTTTATTTCTGTTGCCATGTGGCCCCATTCACTCAGTGCAAAGCAGAGATTGTGTGTTCCCCATCCCCTATGGCTGCTGCCTCACCATGAAGCTGGGTTTCTGTAGTGTGTGCCTGATGCTTACAGCTCCTGGCTCGTCTGTATCCCATAGAGCCATCCTGCGCCTCTTGCTCCTGCTGTGGTACAAAACTGGCATCCAGACATCTCCTCCCATCATACCACTGGACAGGGAGCAGCAGCAGCTCCAGCCAGAAGGTGAGTCCATTATACTGGGATTGCCTCACAGTCTTGCTACTTACCAGACATTGGTAAGTTCAGACATTTTTGGGGAGCAGAGTGGAGTAAGTGTCTCGTTCCATTAGCCCTTGTTGAAAATCCCCATTAGCCAAGAGGTGTGGGCAGCAGGGAAGCTGTAAGAATTCCGTAAGGCAAGCCTCTTCAGTACCAGTCTTCTCCCCAGCATGCATCTACGCACTGTTTGGTTAACTTAGCAGCACTGCTCTCTTAGACTACCAGCCCTATAATAGGCCTAAGCCTTGAATAGCAAAGAGGACTGAAAGTCTGGCTAGAGTTGCATTAGCAGAGCTGGGGGGTAGGGAACCCATGACTGGAGTAGCAGGCTGCATATGTGGCCCTGTGCTTTCCTGCACTTTACTTGGCATTGCTTAGTGTTAGCAGTTTCATCGAAGCCAGACTTAACAGCTGAAACATGAAGGTGTCAGACTGAAAAGACTCAGGTTCGCTGGTCTTATGTAGTTAGTAATCTAGATGGAGGAGATGGGCCTGCAGTGAGAACTTTGTCCTGGTACACCTCAGAGCATGGTTCACAAAGAGCTACAAGGAAATTGCAGCCCTGATCTCACTGTGGTGCCTCTCTCTTGGCAGACAGGGAGGGCAGGTTAGCAGGGAAGGAACAGACATATGTCGGGAGGCGCTCCAGCCGTGTTATGAGGTCCCTCGAAAGCAGTAAGTACTTCCCCCGATCAGCTTGTGCCCTGGCATTGACCCCTGCACTTGCTGGTATTGCCTTGGGTCTGTGGCCAGGGTATAGATTCCTCTTGGAGTGTAACCAACGGGATCTAGCTGACGTACCCAAGAGGGTGCTGTTCCCATCTAGAGATGTGGATGGTTAACTGGTAAGCCTCACCCTTAATGAGCAATACTTATTGGTTCTGGTTAACAGGTGAGGATGGAGCAGCTCCCCACCAGTCTTGGGCAGGGGGCTGCTCCGGGCCCAGGTATGTCACTGGCAGGGGCTTCTCCGGTCATCTGGAGCAGCCTTTGTCTGCAACTGGAGCTCCCTCTGTGCTGGCTGTAGCTGTCACCTTCTCCTTACTAGGGGAAAGCCAGAGCCACAGCCTCAGAGTTCTCCCATTCCAACCCTTCCCCTGGGTGTCACTGAAAGGCCAGCATTGGTGTGTTGGAGACTTGGGAAAGGCACAGTTTGCATTAGAAACCTTGTCTGCAACTCTGTTTCAGCCCCAGCCTTGGAATCCAGACACTGGGGTTCTCCCCAACAGAGGGAGGGAAAACAGAACCGAAGAGCAGAGGAGATGAACCAGGCTCCCACCCCTCTGGGGCTTCAGGAAATCATTGCAGAATCTATCTACATCACCCGGCCTCTGTTCCACTGTATCCTAATTTGACTTTAATTAGTGCCTGTGTGCCTTGTACCCAACCAGTGCATCACAGCATCAGTGCTCACCCTTCCATGCAGCTGGTCATGAATGAATCAGGCACAGGAGGGGCTCTAGCCAGGGTCCTTGTATGTGCTCAGCCATTTGGGCTAGAAGACTGGGTCATGCCAGCCTCTTTCATGGGGCCTTAAGCACTGACCTGTGAGAGTTCAGCAGCTGTTGCCTGGTGGGTTGTGGAGGGTTGCCTGCAGGATCCTTTTAGCCCACGCAGCTGCAACCAACCATGTCTGTTCTCTCCATTCCTTGACCCTTTGTTCCCAGTGTTGAGTTTAGGTGTGTGGGGCCAGAAATCATGGAAGCCCTGGCTCCTCTCAGGAATCTTGGACATCACAAGGTCAGTTGGAGGGAAGCCACCTGGAGCTTCAGCACTTGGGTTCCATTTGGATGTTTTGGGGATGAACTCCCAGGCCTGTTTGTCTCCATTTTCCCCATTTGATCCCACTAGTGCCCTGCTGTTCCCTGCTGCATAAGTGCTGCAGGCAGAAGCAAGGGGGTGGGCGTGCAGGTGCAGCTACAGGTGAGAACAGTCATTTGTGGTAGCAAGAAATCTATGCCTAGATTCTCAGGCTCCTGCCCTGCAGCACCTTTGCTCTGCACAATCCTCTGCTGGGTGTGTGTCCGTCCTTTCCTCTGAAGAGGAGCAGGGAAGCCTGCTGAGAGCAGTGAGGACTCAATGCTGCCCTGGCTGTAGATCTCTGAGTTAACTCCCTGTCCATGTCTTTCCAGCTTGAGTTTACTGAGTGATATGAAAGATCTGAATAAGCACGAGCGCTTGGAGCTGAGACGCCGAACCATCCTGCTGCTGTACTACCTGCTGAGATCTCCTTTTTATGACCGATACTCAGAGTAAGGTGCCCTGCTGGCTGTTTTCTGAATGTATCCTCTTTAAGGAACTAGTCCCCCAACAAGCTTTTTGATGAACAAGGTGTTTTAAGAACATAAGTGGCCATACTGCATCAGACCACCAGTCCACCTAGCCCAATATCCAATCTTCCAGAAGTGCCAGGTACTTCAAGGGAAAGAACAGACGAGTGATTTTAAGTGATCCACACCCTTTGTCCAGTCCCTGCTGGTAATGAGAGGTTAGGAGGACACACAGCAGGGGGTGGTGTCCCTGCCCATCATGGCTAATAGCCATTGGATGGACCTATTCTCCAGGAATTTACCCCATTATTTTTTGAACACAGTTATACTAAGGGGCTTTGGTGCCTCTCTCTAGGGTAATACTAGCTAGGATGCCAGAGTGGGCTCAAACTATTGAAGATCTCAAAAGTCTTTCACTCTGACCTACTTCACCTGCATCTCTGTAGTTTGCATTAAAATCCTGACATGGGCAGTTGTGGGGATCTGGCAGTGTGAGGCTGCAGGATATTTAGGAGCCGCAAAGCAGCGGAGCTGAGAGAAATCCAGTTTCCATTGCTGGAGGAAGAGTCCTCTCAATTTGGCAGACTGGACTATTGAAGATCTCAAAAGTCTTTCACTCTGACCTACTTCACCTGCATCTCTGTAGTTTGCATTAAAATCCTGACATGGGCAGTTGTGGGGATCTGGCAGTGTGAGGCTGCAGGATATTTAGGAGCCGCAAAGCAGCGGAGCTGAGAGAAATCCAGTTTCCATTGCTGGAGGAAGAGTCCTCTCAATTTGGCAGACTGGGATGTGAGGTCATTGCACTGGACTCATCCACACGCTTTC